CCGATCTAAAATAAGTAAATGAAATTATTTCCACTTATAAAATGGATTACCTTTATTAAAATATTTCTATATTTAACGCTGCTTTACATAATTACATCTTAAAGTGACAAAAAATAATAAATTTTAAAATAATAAATTGTAATTATTTTAATTTTTTTGATTTGAAGACATCTTTTCTACAATTTTTTTAATGTTCAAAAAATGTTGAAATTTTTAATGGCAATATATTAAAATAAATAATAGTGTATATGTAAAAAACATGCATACGTAAATATATCTATACATATTTTTTTCAATATTTAAACACTCTGTATTTTTAAAAAATGCGGATTATTTATTGTTTATGTACATTATTATTTCAATCAATTTTTACAGTATTTGTTTAGACATGAAAGGTATAGAATATATAATAGAAAGAATAAGTTCTTTCCACAATGTATCATTAGCTCAACGTTAGCGTACAAGTCTACTGTTCTAGAGATCTCAGGTTCGAATCTCGATATTTCCAAAAATTATAAACTTGTATAAATTGTAATTAATAATTAAATAGAAAATATACGAAATAGTAAATACAGATTAAACTCTAAAAATAATATGTAATAAAATAAAAAAAATAATTTTTTTTTCAATATTTACGTAATTGAGTAATATAACTGTTACGTGAAATGTAACATTACGTTGTTACGTTGTTGAGGCGGAAATTGAAACCTAAATTTAAGTTACTTGTAACATCAGCATAACATTACTTGTTACGTTGAATTGTGTAACAGTAATGTAACAATAATATAACTGTATTTAGTGGGTTATTTCTCTGATGATAATTTTCATGTAAATTTTAAACAGATCACATTCATTTTGAAGTATGCACTATGCACATGAAAATGTATTACCACAGATTAAAAAATATCAAGGCATTGACATTGTATTGAAAAATTAATCTAACTCTATTTGAAACTGTTCCAATTGAATCATACACAACGCTACACTTTGTGCATTCCTGTGTGCGTTTGTGTTAAAATGTATTAAGCAATTGGAAAGCACCCACAATCGCACGCCACGCGCACGCCATTTTTACGGCGTAACGCCTGTACTACGCTACCCGTTATACGGCACATTTTTGCACGAGCGTTCCGAGATATCAACTTTCTCGCGAGTGCCCTATTGCGCTCAAAACAAACAATTGTTTAAACAATCCGCCAGGAGGTCTATTTTCTCGCAAGAAGAAAAGGTTTTGACATATAATAAATAGGTCGAATTTAGGCCAGAAAAGCAGACCTAGTCTCTCACAGGACACATATATCGTGGATTGCGATAAGACTGTAGAGCAGTACGAAGTCTTTTTGGAGAGTTGCATCGAAAATCATTGCCAAGCTGCCGCCGACGATTATTTCTCATCCCGACCTAGCCGAGAGTAGAGTCCTAGAATACAGAGATGCGACACGGCGTCAGTTAGGTTAGGTAGCCGCCGCCATTTTAATTCAGTAAAGTACTCCTAACCTTATAAGCTGATGACAGTTGATGCAAAAAGAAAATACTTACACCATAATAATAGCTTTTTATTGCATTTCAACACTTTGTATTGTCTTAATTTTTCTCTATATAATTTATATGTACATATTTTACAAAGCTGTATCTTGAGGGCTGTATCTTGATGCA